GGTTTCGAGGCCCACCTGGGCAACTTGGTGAGACCTCATCTCTACAATAAATCAAAAAAAAAAAAAAAAAAAAAAAGAGCCGGGCGTGGTAGCGCGCACCTGTAGCTCCAGTTACTTGGAAGGCTGAGGCAGAAGGATCGCCAGAGCCCAGCAGGTCAAGGCTGTGGTGGCCGGGAGCGGCCACTGCACTCCAGTCTGGGCGACAGTGAGACTCCAACTCAAAAAAAAAAGGATACAGAGAGAATTTACAGGCCTAGGGGACCAAGTGGATAGATGAAGGGGGAGAAATCAGATAACTCTGGGTAATGGAGTTGTTGGTGATGTTATCAACTGAGAACATAGAGTAGGAACAGGATTAGAGGAGAGATTTACAATTTCAGTTTTGGACTTGCTTATAAGGTGACACCAAGATATACGCAAAGTAGGAAGCTGGAAATGCCATTCATGAGCAGAGACCTAGATGTTGACAGCACGTGGTGATGGCTGAGATAGGTAGGTGAGACTTCTCTAGGAAAGAGAACAGAATGGCAAGACAAAAGGATAGATGACAAACTCTAGAAAACACAGCCACCTAAAATATGACAAAGACTCATCAAAGAAGGAGAAAAAATAAAGAGAGTAAGGTCTCAGAAATCAAGAAAAAAATTTCAAAAGGGGATGTGGTTAGGCCCGGCACAGTGGCTCACGCCTATAATCCCAGCACTTTGGGAGACTGAGGTGAGAGGACTGCCTGAGCTCATGGGTTCAAGACCAGCCTGGGCAACTTGGCAAGACCTCATCTCTACAATAAATCAAAAAATTAGCTGGGTGTGGTGGCATGTGCCTATAGTTCCAGCTACTTGGAAGTCTGAGGCAGAAGGATCACCTGAGCCCAGCAGGTCAAGGCTGTGATGGCTCTCAGCATGCTACTGCACTCCAGCCTGGACAATAGAATGAGACTCCCAATCAAATAAAAAAGGGGGGGAGGATGTGGTCAACATTGCCAAATGCTGTGAGATCAAAAGGGATGGGAAAGCCAGGTGTAGTGGCTCATGCTTGTAATCCCAGCACTTTGGGAGGCTGTAGTGGGCGGATCCCTTGAGGTCAGGACTTCAAGACCAGCCTGGGCAACGAGGAGATCTTAAATTCCTATATTTCCACAAAGGAAAAAAAAAAGAAAAATTAGCTGGGCGTGGTGGTGTGTGCCTGTAGTCTCAGTTCTTCGGAAGAATTGCTTAAGCCTAAACTCAGAAGTTCAAGGCTGTGATGAGTCATTATCGTGCCACTGCACTCCAGCTTGGGCATTAGAGCAAAACCCTATCTCAAAAAAAAAAAAAAAAAGGTTGGGAACTGAGAAGAGGCCACTGGATTTGGCATGGTGGCAAATCTTTAAAAGCATTTGGGCCGGGTGCAGTGGCTCGTCTGTAACTCCAGCACTTTGGGAGGCCGAGGTGAGAGGACTGCCTGGGCCCACAGATTCTCGAACAGCCTGGGCAACTTGGCGAGACCTCATCTCTACAATAAATCAAAAAATTAGCCGGGCATGGTAGTGCATGCCTATAATTCCGGCTACTAGGAAGGCTGAGGTCAAAGGATCGTCTGAGCCAAGCAGGTCAATGCTGGGGTGGCTGTGAGCATGCCACTGCACTCCAGCTTGGGCGACAGAGTGGGACTCCAACTCAAAAAAACAAACAAAAC